CACAAAAAAATGCAATGCAACAATTTAGACACATAAGACATAGCAGAATGTGATGCATCAGGTAAACATGGTTTAGGCATAAAAGAAGGTTTAACAAAAGTTGTTTTACCTTCTTTACTAGAAGAACCTTTAACAAATTCTAACCCTATTTTATCATTCACATCCTTACTCATGTTAATTATCTTATTCAAACTGTTTTGACTCATATTGAACCCTTTCAGTTTATCTTTTTCAGATTTCAATTCAATTTCAAGATAATCATTTTTCAAAGCAAGACATTCCTTTAATGAGTTAGCAACACTTACCTTATCCTCAAGAATGATGATCTGTCTCTCAAGCTTAATGATGATAGACTTGCTTTCAACAGCCTTCCTTTTGCCTTCAGCAATCTGTTTCTTTAGATCTTCATTCTCTCCTTTTGCTTGGATAAGCTCATTTGCTAGCTTATTGATTGCCTGTTTATTCTCAATGGTTTCTTTAACCACCTTCTCAGTCTTTCATTGTCCTTGTCAGCCTCTTCAATTTATTCATCACGAACTTCACTGTCTTCATTATCTGAACTGTTAGAGTCAGATAAATTAACGACATGAGGACCCCTATCAAGAAAAGCGACATAAGAAAAATCATTAGTATCATCTTGAGGAGAATCACTATCACTTAAAGTAGACTTTTCAATCATAGAAACTTTCATTGTTTTTCCTTTATTCTTATTCTTTTGTTCTTTCCTAGGACTAGGACAAACATTGGATGCATGACCTTTGCCACCACAATTCCAGCAAGTAATTTAGTTTCTTTTGATTCTTCTACTTTTTTCTCATTAAACCTAAACTTTGATATCTTGTCAAAATTTTGAGGATTAGCCATGTTGTTATTCCTTCTCCTCCGTTGCCTTTGTAAAATATGATTGAATTGCCTTGACAAGAATGCAATATCATCATCAGAGTCATCATTCACAAAATTCTCAACCTGTGTAGATTTCAAAGCAAGATTTTTCTCCTTCTGACTTAAATCAAAATTCTGCATCTCAAAAGTTTTTAATGAATCTACCATCTCATCAACTTAATAGGTAGTCAAATCCCAATGTTCATAGATGGTTTCAACCCTAATCTGGAATCTTTTAGAGTCAGTTTGGTAGAGTGGAAATGTGAGGAAAGGGAAGGGAAGGTGATGGAGGGGAATTAAAAATTTGTGTTTGGCAAAAATTTTTGGAAGGAAAGGGTAGGGAAGGGAAGGGTTTGGAGGGTTAACTTGTGCCTTCAACAGTAAATTTCTTAACCTCCCAAAAATGGGAGGAAATGAAGGGAAAGGGAAGGAGAGGCTTGTGTGTGATTTCAGTTGCCAATTTTGCCTTGAGAGTTGAGAACGGCAAATGGCGAACCCGAATTGGAACAGCAGCGGGCAATGGAAACTAATATGGGTTTTGATTTTTTGAACAATCTGAAATTGGGTTTTGATTTGTTGAACAATCTAAAATGATGCCGATATGGGTTTTGAAGTTTTGATTCTTGCAAACAGAGATAAACTGGAAATATATGGGTTTTGAATTTGAACAATCTAATAATAGTGCAGAGAGAGAGAGTTCAGTGTTGAGAAGGAGAATAGAGATGGAGCGAGATTGGGGAGGCTGAAATGATTTGCCCTATTTTTTTTTTTTTCTTTTTCTTTTATTGTGGTATCAAGTTAAGACTATATACACACACACACACACACACACACACACACACACACATATATAAAATAGAGATGGAGGCAAGATTGGGGAGACTGAAATGATTTGCCCTATTTTTTTTTTTTTTTTCTTTTCTTATGGCCAGTACATGAGACTATATATATATATATATATATATATATATATATATATATATATATATATATTATATTTTAAAATATAAAAGGGTATAATAGTCAATTTATTAGAATAATTCCCTTCCATTTCTTTTCCTTTCTTTTATCAAACATAATTATTATCCTTCCCTTTCTTTTCCTTCATTAATTAACCAAACGCGATAGGAGGTTAAAATTATCCTCCCCTTCCCATTCCTTCATAACTAATGTTATCATTCCCCTTCAAACTCACACTACTAAACATAGCCTTAGGTAAAGACCTTAAGATTTTCTCACAGATTTTTTTATCACTAACTTTTTTCCCTGAGTGACGCAGTTCATAAATTATTTCAAGAAGACTATAATAAAAATCAGAAAATGATTCATCTTCTTTCATCACAATGTTGCTAAATTTATGAGAGAGCAACTGAATTTTGGACAACTTTACTTTTGAAGTTCTTTCATGAGTAACCTGCAAAATATCCCAAGCTTCTTTAGCAGTTTTACAATCAGAAATTCTAACATATTCAGATGGAACAACAGAATTAATAATTGAATATAAAGCTTTGCCATTAGCATCATTACGCTCAGTTTCAATAACAGTAAAAGCAAAAGTATCTTTTAACTCTTTGACTATTTTACCATCCACAGTTGTATCTGTTGTAGGTAGTGTATAGCCAGTTTTAACTATTGCCCAAGTTTTACCACCAGAATTTTACAAATATGCTCTTATCTTTGATTTCCAAAAATTGTAATTATCTCCTTCAAATAAAGGACCACGTTGATTAGAACCGTCTTCTTTCAACGCATAAGACATGATTAAAACAATTTTTGAAAAAAAAAAACTAAACTTTGCAACAAGGATCAACTTAATGTATAGAGTTTGGCTTTAATACCAATTTGTGAGTCATATGCAACGGAATGTATACAGGAAAGTTTTAGGTTTTGTAAAACAGATCTGTGTCGTTACTAACTTTACTTATTTTAACAGCTAGATAATTAATTGTATGCAGTAAAATAAACCAAAGTATAAAGTTAGAGATGACACCCGGATTTTAGCGAGGAAACTCCAGTTGATAAAATACGTCAATTGTAATGGGAAAACCCCGTGGACTTGTGCAGTCCAAAGTAAACCAATTCATTATGCTTGGAACAAAGTATATCGAACTTTGACTCTGACTTACACCCTATTGTTCTACACCACATCAACCGTTGACGATCCTCTAGCTTTGTGACTCCCCGTCCAACGGCAACTTGACCTCAGGCTTACACTTGATATTTGTTGAAGGGTAGCAGGTAGATCAGACAGCACTCCATGAATGCTCCAACCCTTCCAAAGTGTGACTGCGTTTACTTATGTTCTTTAACTGTCTGAATGATGTAGAAAAAGATCTATTTCGTCTGATCGATGTTAATACACCTGTATGATCACGATTAGATTCGAACACCAAAACTCTAAACTCTATGTTTTTGTGTATATGTTCTAGAAAGATATCAGAAAAATCAACTCTGATTTTCTGCAAAAATAATCTTCCTAAGGCTTTGAATAATATCTGAATAATAATATAAAACCCGTGAATAAACCAATGTATATGATATGGTTTATATAGAGTATGGAATGCCTGATTCCTCTAAAAATAAGATAAATTTCGTGCATAGGATTTGGTACAATTCTAGACCAACTGGGAAATAATTCAGAAAAGGGAAACTGAAGTTGTATTGCAAACAGGACACCTTGAATTGGTTCAAGGAGGCTGAACCGGTTCAAGTTTGGCAGTGACTCAAACTTGAGCATCTTGAACCAGTTCAAGGTTGACAGACCTGAATACTAGAATTATTGCAACCTTGTTTCATTCTACTGGAATTTCAGACTAATATGGTAAGTGTAGAATGTCCAACCTTGTTCATATTCCTTCTTGAATCAGTGTTTTTACCCTTTTTTTCACAAACTCTTCAAGTATGGTAAGTTTGAACTCCTTCCCAGTTTTGTAATCCTTGTCGAACTTGATGACTTGTAGAACAAGTAATTTAAATTACAACTCAACTTAGATTTGTTATGTCTACGATAATTGCCAAAATAAATAATATCTCACACCTTAAAGTCAAGAAAAGGTGAATAGTGACCAATGTTGAAACTTAATTGATATTAAGTGACCATTTGATAATTTATTACCTAGATAACATTCTTATAATATATTATTATGTAAGTAGACAAATTTACCATCTACATTAACCTAAATAAACACTTAATTAAATTGACTAACAACAAACGACAGATTATTAGCGTCAGTCTCCGAAGAGAAGACCAAGATGGGAGAGAACTGCGGGCAAATGTTCTACATCGTTATCTTCATCGTTAGCTTCAAGGTTCTAAGAGGCAGGACGAGAAAATTGTAAATTTTCTTCTTATTCATTATTTTCAAGATATAGTTATTATACTTTATAAATTGATTTGTTTGAGAGATTTTCATTAAGATATAATATTGTAATTTTTAGAAATTTTTTAATACTACTGAGTTATAGTTTAAAAAATAATGGCAGAATTTTGCCAGCTGTTTATAGGTATTTCAAAAGTTTGCACATCAATAGTTTGCAAATATAAAGTTGTCATATGAGTTTATTGAGATTGTCTATAGCCCTAATCACATCCATGAGCTTAGAATCATCCAGAAAAATAATATATTAAAGCAACAAAATGCGAAGGGACCCGCCTTTATAAATATTCTATAAAGAACATTTTAGGATGAAACTTGTTTTCTTTGATTTGCCACTATAAATATTTTTGCTTTCATGGTAGAGAGTCTTGAAAAATAAATAAATGGTAAAAAAATAATAATATTGATAAAGAAACCTTAATTTTTAAAATTGACATATTACGAATTAAAAAAGAAAAAAAAACGTCAGATGACAAAAAAGAGAGTAAGAAAATGAATTTAATGAATTATTATTTATATTAAATGATAATTTTATAATTTAAAATTTATTTTTAAAATATTTATCAAACCTTTATATATTTTTAAGCAAATTATCTTCAAATGATTATTTAAAATCAATTAAATTTTAACATTATTATTTATCTATTCTTAACTTTAAGATTATTATAAAATAATTATATTTAAAATAATTATATTTATCTACTCTCGCCTGTCTACCTCATCTATTGAATTCAGTAAACAGCTCAGAATTTCATGCATGTATATATATCAAAATTATTTTATGCTAGCCACTGATTATTATAATATTACAGGCCCCGCACATAGAAAGAGAATCAGAGAGAGAGAGAGAGAGAGAGAGAGAGAGAGAGTTCAATTTCTCTGACATCTCACAGACCACCCAAATGCGTCAGATTTCACCACCTTCCACGGCGTCCCCACCCCTCACGTGAGCCTCTCTCCATACTCAGATTTGCTTCTCTCTCATCCCTTCATCGCCACCCCCTCTCTCTCTCTCTAACTTCATTTTTTTGTACAATTCACAGACCAATCCCCAATCTCACACTTCATCATCTACAATGTGGGTCTTCTTCAATTCCACTGATCGTTACAGTACCACTGAAGGGTCGGAGCTTGATCGTCCGGGAAGAAATTGCAGGACTCATCGCCACTAAAGAAATTGTGCTCCTCGATCTTCACAAACTGTGGCTGATACGCTTTCTGGGCATCTCCCAGAATCGCTTTCGTCTCCGAGAATTGGAAGCAATTCATCGCCGACGACGGCGACGAAGACGACGAGCAGTTGAATTTGAACGCCGCGGGCGGCGGCGACACCGTGAACGGGTGGTTCTGAAGAACCCCAGATGAAGAAGATATGGCCGCCGCATTGGGGCTGCTGTTGTCTTCGTTGAGTATCGCACTCGAGTCGCTGTCCGACGAACCATCTTTGAAATCTGGGAAGACTGAGCTTCTTGTCACGACGCCATTGGTGTTCTTGAAGCTCTCATAGTTCAAATCAGTTGTTGTATCAGACCCACCAAGAGACGTTGAGTTTGGTTCTGCAATTTTGTCATCAGATTCTGATACCATTTTCTCTTCTTTCACCGAAACAGTGCTCTCGGTGTTCTCTTCCACTAGTTTTGATTTCAGTTCTCGTATCTGTAAACACACAAACATATATAAACAAGAGTTAAAAATTCAGAAACCAATCATCAGAAATTGATTTTTTTTATTTTTTTTCAGGAATAAAAAAAGTTTTAAAACTCCTAAGTAATTCGAACATTTCTTACTATTTTATGTTATGTCAATGAAGATCGTAAAATTATTAAATATGATACACTCACCGTAATATCATATATCAAAAATACATAATTTTAATCGAATATGTACGATTTTCTATTCATCTTATGAAACAAAAGACAAGAAATTGAAAAATATTCCCTTTTTTTCTTGTAAGTTTGGTCTATTTTAATTTTCAAAACTTTATTGATTCTAATTTTAGAGTCTGTTAAACACCTGTACGAGATATGAAAATTTAATAATTGTATAAAAATTTGTTAATTAACCACTTCTAAGAACTATTTTATAAATTTAAAAATAATAATTAGATAATTATCTTTTATAACTCAAAAATATTTATATTTTTAGAATTTTTAAGAACAGTTTTATAAACATTAAAATTGTCTAACCATATATAGAAGTATCTTGTTATGATGGAATTGTTAAATGTTTGCTGTCTTACTTTTTCTCGAACAACCTTATTTTTGATTAATTTTGGAACAACCTTAAAAAAAACAAGAAATAAATTCTTATTTTCTTTTCCATCACTTCATGTTTTTACTTCCATTATCTAAGTATTATTTTCCATCTAACCAAAAGCAAACCCTAACCCTAACAGAGTTGAGGGATGTATGAGTTTTTTTTTTTTTTTCAGAAAATTAAAACAAAAAAGTGTATAAATTATGAACATGTATAGTTAGGACACTATATATTCACCTCTTTGAGCATGGTTTCGTTGTCATGTTGGAGAGACTCGTAATTGCGCTTAAGAGCTTCATAATTGGCTTTGAGGACGCCGTAGTCTCTCTCCAACTGCTTGGTCTTCCACCTTGCGCGGCGGTTCTGGAACCAAACAGCCACTTGTCTGGGTTGCAACCCAAGTTCTTGAGCAAGCTTCACTTTCCTCTCCGGTTCAAGCTTGTTTTCCACCTCGAAATTCTTCTCCAATGCCTTCACTTGATCCACACTCAGTCGCCTCTTCTTCTCCGCCATTTGGCACGACTCTTCCACACACCCTTCCTCTTCCAGCCCTTCCAACATCGTCTGAAACTCCCTACTGTACACATGGTTGCTACCTGGGCTGTGCTCTTCAAAATCAAATAAATTAACAATAAGTGACTAACAAAAAAGTATCTTATGTTCGAGAGCATCAAATTAATTAGCACTTTTAATTTAGAATTTATGTATTCATATATTCTCTGTCTTCGACAAAAATTTTTAAGTTGTAGATTTTGCAATTTTTAACATATATGTGGGAGAGAGCAGCATTGAGATTTTCTAAAAGAGGAAATAATTGATCTGATTGAAATGAAGTTAATCATAAATGTTTGAAGTTTTTAAGGTGATTAATGAACATGGTTAGTGGGAATTTATTTTTTTTAAAAAATAAAAAATAAAATAAAATAAAAATAAAAATGCTTGGGTGTCTGCAAATAAATGAATCATAATTTGTTAGATCAACCTGTAGTATGACAGATGGACATCAAAGCACCCAAAGAATCTGAGCTGCCAAGTGTCTTCATGAGTACTGGAGATAATTAGTATTGGAGAGAAATAGTATTTGCTAAAACAGATGTATTTAGAGATCGCTACTAGACCAGCCTTTAGTACTTTCTTTTCTTTTTGCTGATTGAGGTGGTTGAGTCGAAATATATGTAGAGGGAGCTCAAAGAGTACTGTGTCAATTAAGTACTTCTATTTGGAAGCAATTAGACTCCCATCCCTAAAACAAACCCAACTTGCACAGTTTTGGTGCATACATGAAATTGGGTCACTCTGCAACACTTTCTCTCTCTTGACTTCCCCATCTCTCTCCTCTTTCAATACTTCTTCTCTCTCTATACAACCCATCAAAATCAAGAAACAACCAAGCAAAGCAAACACAGAAGAAAAGAAAAAAAATAATCCACCCACTAAACAATCAAAGCCAAACAACCCTTAAACACTCTTTTTTTCTACATCATTACTAAGAATCAGACAAACGGTGTATGTGACTTCATCTAGAAAGACAAAGATGGAGAGAGAGAGAGAGAGAGAGAGAGGATTTGGAGGCAGTATTACTCAAACCCAGTTGGGGTTTCACACTTTCTCTCTCTTTAAATAAACCAAACTTTGGGTTGGGTCATTGGGTTAGAATTTGACTGGGGTTAGGTACTGAAATGAAATGAACATTCAATCCAAATTGCATCTAAATGAAATTTTGGTCCACCGGCTATTGCCGGTTTTCGACCGTTCTGTAGAGATATTTTTGGGGTGCATAGTGGTGGTATATGTGGTTTTGCTATAAGTGGAAAGGGTGATGCGGCTCGGCTTTAATATGGCTCGGCTCGGGGGAAGCTGGTTGAGGATTTTGGTGGCGTCAGCGTATCCTGATTGTCAATACGGCGTAGTCGGTGCGAGTGCTCGCGGGAGTTGATCTCGACGAGCAACCGTGTTTGGCTGCTGGGTTGGACTATCCTCCCAAGGGTTACTTAATCAGGGGCAGAACCATGATTGCAAGTAGTATTGCACATAGGCTGGGCTAAATAGTGGTACTGTATATGGGCCGGACGGTGAACTGATGTACATTAATATTAAAATTTATATTTTTTGATCCGGTTATTACCTAAGTTACTCCTTCATGGTTTAATAGAGTAATGATATAATCGACTGTTCAAGTGCTATTCCAATTACACTCCTAAAGTGTTTAATCAGAAATCGATGATAAATTTAATTTTCTTTATTTTTTTTTGTCATTGGCAAAAATTAACACACATCACTCACACACCTCACTTTGCTCTTTTGAAAATTTCAACACTTACTATTCATTTTGGGAGATAAAGGAGATATTACTAGGTCACAAGGCCTTTGATAAAACTTTCTTCTCGACTCTGTAAAAATTAATTTCATAATTAGATTCAGCCACGTCATTATCTTGTTAAATTTTTCATTGAAATTTATGTACAATTAAATTTGTAAATAGTAAAATTGAATATGATAACGAATTAGGACCGTAGATGATTTGCCAAGTTCATAGATGAGATTCATAGTCTAAATTATTCAGTAAATACATTTTTTTTTTATTTTTTTCCATAAATGGTGTTATATTAAAGAAAATATATAGAAATACAAAGGCATACCCCCACAAAGAGAAATTAAAACTCCAACAACGACCCCTCTCAAATAGAGAAGGCCCATTTTCAATTTTTTTTTTTAAAAAAAAAAAAAAAAAAAAAAAACAACTAGACAAAGACACGCGATAAACATGACTGATATTTCTAGCAACAAGTTGGGGAGGAGTACAAGCATCCCAGCATCCCCATGATGCCTAGCATTCCTCTCTTGTCAAATACCCTACAATGGGCCAACAAACCAGCTTGCAAGCACCTTAGGGTCCAGATGATGCTGCCAGAACCAACCAAACCAGTCCCACCACTGATTATCTCCAGTAAAATTACTCTACTACCCATCTCCAAACTGCTTGAGAAAAAGAACAGGAGAAGAAACTATGATCTCTGGTGTCCACCTCATGACCGCAATGTGAGCGTCTAGGCGCCAAACCACTCTTTCTTCCCCGCAGATTCACCATTGAGGGCAGCCTATGCATTACACACACTGCATTCACATACCACCTTTGTCTAGTCTTCAGATGTAGCTCTACAAGTGAATTTACCTCCCTCACAAAGCAATCCGTCCGCACCTGCTTGAACAAGAACATACCTAATAAATTCTCGAAAAGGTCCAAATATATCATCCCGTGGGGAATCTAAATTTCAAGTTCCGCCATTGATACGACAAATGAATCTTTGAAGTTGTGGAAAGATACAGCTTTCTGACCATCCTATGACCAAATTTTTGAGTGGCAGTTTGAATTAACATACTTTTCAATAGTTCCACTTTCCCTGCAACAGATAGGAAGTTATTTGTCGAGCTGAAATTTTTTTGAGTTACCTTATCAACGAGACCACCACAATTTGAGGTCTTCATTTCCCGGTTTAAAATTGTGAGGTGTTATATTTGCCATTTCTAGGTTTGTTTGATTCAATTTTTTTAAAAATAATTTATTGTTCTTACAAATTTAAAAATTAAAACACGGTGTCAAAATCGGTTTGCTTACCGTAAAAAAATTAAAAATTATTCCTTGAAAACAAGCATTTTTACTTAATTTTTCATAAATAAATTTAAATTGAATTTTTGAAGGTTGTTTTCGAAAAACTGAACTAAATAGACTTAGGCCTTGCTTGGTTTTATTCTATAATAACCATCTCTTCTCCATTCCATCGGACCAAAACTTTAGAGGATAAATAAAATAAGAATCACAAGAATTTTAATAATGTTAACAAACTAACTGAACCAATCCAAATAGTGTAGAAACATTTCAAATAAGTTCATTTTCTCAAAATTACATTACCTAATAACATTGTTGAACAGCCAGTGGGTGTATATCAAGATTAAGGCTTCCTCAAACACTAGATTTGGCTACAATCTTTATCGAGAACTAATTAATTATTTAAAATGTGTTTAATTCAATTTAAAATAAAACTCACTATAATTACACAGTATATCGCTACAACAAAATTGCAATTGAAATAATCAAAATGTTATACATAGGGTGGGCTTGGTGCAATGGAAACATTTTTTTTTTTTTTTTTTCTCTTTAATTTTAATTTTTGTTTTTTTTTTTGTTTTTAACTGAAACAAGCAATGTCAAATATTGTTATGTATGCATGCGTATTATATATATATATATAAAGTGGTCATGTAAGTTATGATTAGCACCTAATTTACGCGTGCCTAATCTCAACATTGACAAATGATAAACCAAAAACATTTTAATTGTCACGGTCCCAATAATTACTTAGCTTTCAAATTTTCTGAATTAGTACAGTACATTAGTCAGTTCAGGCCTCGCTACAATAGAATCTTATAAATAATTTGAGACTAATTAAGACTCGAACTAGCACTAATGATACTAATGTTTAAGCATTAAATCATTTAACGAGACAACAATCGACAGCAATTTTTAATTACTAATTGGTTTAATGATTACTCATGAGAACCAGGCAAGTACACAAAGATTATAATTCCAAATTGAGTAGTAGCAGTAAATAAGAAAAAACTATGACCTAATCAATCACTAATAACAGGCATATGTCCCTCCCATGTCTCGCATCCTCTCCATTATGCCACTTTGAATGCATCATCATGATGGACGAAAAAATTTACCCATGGAAACGAAGGTAACTTTTTACTCTCTTTGTTTGGTTGGACGATTTTTACTCTCTTTGTTTGGTTGGACGAGGAGGTTGGAAGGAGAGAGAACAAGTACTTATTTGTGTCGCACACTTGAAGAAATATACACGAAGGCTGATTACCAAAAAATATACACACACACACAAAGGCAAGAACACAAAGATTATACTTCCAAATCGAGTAATAGCACTAAATAAGAAAAAAAACCTATGACCTTATCAATCACTAATAACAGGCATATATCCCTCTCATGTCTCACATCATCAATCTCCATTATTCCACTTTGAATGCATCATCATTATGGATGAAAAAAATTTTACCCATGGAAAAGAAGGTAATCTTTTACTCTCTTTGTTTGGTTGGACGAGAAGGTTGGAAAAAAAGAGAACATGTACCTATTTGTATCGTACACTTGAAGAAATATACACGAAGGCAAGAACACAAAGATTATACTTCCAAATCGAGTAGTAGCACTAAATAAGAAAAAAACTATGACCTAATCAATCACTAATATCAGGCATTTATCCCTCTCATGTCTCACATCATCTCCATTATGCCACTTTGAATGCATCATCATGATGGACGAGAAAATTTACCCATGGAAAAGAATGAAACCTTTTACTCTCTTTGTTTGGTTGGAAAAAAAGAGAACATGTACCTATTTGTGTCGCACACTTGAAGAAATATACACAAAGACAGTGAAAATCATTGTGTGACGATCCATTATTAATTAGCTTATGCCTATCCTATGCCTTTCTAGAGTATATTTTTCAAAGTATAGATACTTTATTAGAATAATGTAATAAAGTAAAAAATTACACCTATGGATTCACCATTTTTACCTAGAATAGCATCCGAGTGAATGCAGAAATATAAAAAATGGTGAGTGCGTCAAGGCCAAAACCAAAGTAAAATTTTGATGTGAAATAGTGTCCCAATCAACAATATACTTGAAAATCAAAGTACATATTTTCTAAGTTTATATCTGAAAGGATTCATATATGTCAAAATTTTACTATTTTTCTCTAAAAAGTTAGAATTGAAATTTTCTACATCTTCACAAACACTCGTTAAGATTGAAGACTTTCAAAATTTTTAATCATGAAAGATGAGTAAAGAAGAGAAGAAGAAAAGAGAGCCCCTCTTAACATGATCTATTGTTTGTGTTTTCTACCTGTGTGTGTGTGCAAGGTGTGTTTTACCTTTCAATTTAGTTTATAGGAAAACTCTACTCTTTGCGCAAAATCAGAAGTCGATTGTGAGACAGTAATTGTGGTCAAGGACGGACTCAAAAAAGTATGTGAGAGGGGGCTATCTTTAAAAAAAATGTTGGGGGGGATAGTAAAATTTTTCTTTAATTTCAATGGGGTCAAACTCAAAATTTTATAAATTGCCCCCATTGAACCCATCACAGGTCCGTCCCTAACTGTGGAGCCCATACCCCCTCTCCAATTTGGAGGTTTGGAGTTCAGCATGAAAATCACAGCTAATTCTTTAAGCCAATAATTTTTTATATCCTCCCATTTTCATTTTTCTTTCAAGTATTTACTAGTTTGTGCACCCTCTCTATTTCAAAGCCTTACATGAACTTAATTAGATTATCTATTGTGTGATTAAATGGATAAGATATAAAAAGAAACAGGAGAGCCTCTGGCCACCAAATATATGAAATGAAAGTTCTTCTTTTAGTTTTTAAGGCTTATAAGATGTTGTTTTCAAAATAAATAAATAAATAATTGAATTTCTTGCTTAGGAGTGTGTTCTCTATTTTGTATGTGTATAACTTGTGTATTATTTTTCATTCTAAAAACACCCTAATTTAAACCTGAATTGATTGAGTTAGATGGGAGT